AGCTATCTCTCCAGAAATCTTTCTGCACATGGGCTCAAAATAATTTGCCAAAGGCAGGTGTGTATTTTGATCTCCTGCTAAGTGACAATGCAAAGAGCATGGGGTGGGACCTGATTTCAATCCATCCATTTCATCCATTCAATCTATTTACTGATTTTAAATGAAACAAAATTAGTTAACTGATACAAAATGTTACAACAATAATACTATTAAAAGGTTTTGGTTTGTAGGGTTAAAAACTATGGCTACTACAAAGCGTGTGTGTGTGTGTGTATAAAGCTATGACACACATTTACTATGATCTAAAACATTAGTTTTTACTTAAATATTTCAATTTTATGCTAAACATTGTCTGATACCTAATGCTGGATTAAAAATAAAATATGTATCATTACATAAAAAGTTAAATGTATATTTTACAGTGAAAATCAAGTTCCATATTAAATATTCTGCATATACAATCAGAGTTAAAAATGCAACTCACACAATTCAAATGTAATCCCAGTTCCCCAAACCAACAATACTTGGTGGCAAAATAAAACAACAAATCATACCCATTTGCCAGTTAGTGATTTTCATTAAGCAACAACATCCCATTTACTTAGAATTATGTCATGATTTTAAACACTGAATCTAATTAGGTATAAATAACAGCAGGTTGAAAATATATGATTTAAGTTCCATCTTCTTTAAAGATATTTCTAGGGGATGAAAAAGTATTTTTCAACTGCCAGTTTCATATAAAATGCATTGTTATGTGCCCAAGGTTCATTGTATAGGGCCAATAGTAAATTCACAGAGTTCTTTTTGCTCCTACTTAATACAGGCAGAAATCTCAAAATTAGAGGTAGAACTTCCCAAGAAGGAACAGAGGAAGTAATTTATTATCTTTTATTCTGCGCAACTTCATTCCTCCATTTCATTTGAGAATAAAGACCAGTTCATACATGCCAATTTTACCCATGTAGAGAACATCAAATGTGAACTAGGATAAGCATGTGAACAGATGCTGCACATTTCCACAATGTCAGTGGAACTTTTTGTTTGGGATTGTAGAGCTTTCAGGAGCCAATAACAGACCAGAGAAAACACACATAACAGGGTTGGAGTAACTGCTCACTGCAAAGGTTTCGGACGCCAATAAGTAGAAAGGAGTTCTACGATTCATCGCAGAGATAGCATTTTCCTAAAAGGGACATATGACACTTGCCCACTATTCCTCACATATTCCACAAGAAGAGAGTTCAGGAAAATCATACGGAGACATATCTGGTGCTGAAGGGTCAACACAAAATGAAGTTTCAATCCTCCCAGCTCCATCATCTTAACTTGATTGTGCTGAACATGGGTTGGGTCTACAGTTAAGCTGAATCAACTGTATTGGTGGAAGTGGACCTCTTTACGCACCTCTTTTTCAGAATAGCCCCTGCTAAGCCCTGAAAATGGTACCCAGGGAACTAGGAAAGCCTGCTGAATGGGGTGAACTCTTACGAAGAAAAAAGGCATTTGCAAAATCAGACAAGGAAAGTTCTGCAAGTGGAGCCTTTGCTTTGAGGAAGGAAGATTCTGTATCCAACATGGTGTTGGATGTTATAGATTTATCAGATGTACAGATTTATCCTAACTGATAGTTGACCAGCTATTGACTCACCACACATAGCTGATTAAAGAACTGGACTTTAAAACATTCACATCTATTAAAGTATGAAATTTTCAGAGGTAGTTTGATAATCAAGAAAAGTACCATAGTATTTGAATGTGTAACTGAAAACTTAAGTTCTTCAGATAATGTCCCCGCTTCCATCAGCAGCCCCGAGGGAGTATTTCTCAACATCTGATTCCATACACAGCAGCATACACCATGCTCTAGGGGTTGCGGCTGAAAGTAGTAATTACCCGCTGATTCAAATATGGATCCTTTGATCACATACAGAGATATATCTGAATTTCACCTATTTATATTTAAAAATAGAAAGCCTTTAATTTTAAATATTTCACTAACTTTGAGATTATCTACATCTACTGCTGAATAAATTGCATATGTGGTATTTCTACTCCCCGCTCCTAACCATGGTTTGTTTCAGAAAATAAGTCTAAATACATTTTAGGCAACTTGTTTGTTACAATAATACAATATTTAGCTACTGAATCAAAATTCATGTACGAATGGATACTGCTTATTACAACAAGGATGTCACAATGACAAAAGCACAGAATAGTGTTATGTATTATATAAGTTTGAATCAACAATTTGGAACGCAACCTTTTGCCAAGACTTTGTCCATCAATTACAAAAAAAAATTTTTTTAAGGTTTTTGATACATTGTTTAGCTAGGTACTATAAAGTTGACTAATTTTAGCCCAACTTTTTTCTGGTCCAAGGATGTCTAATAATACCTAATGTAATTTTTTTCTCAAGTAATGTTAGATCCTTCTGCAGGGTCTATTACATCCATCGAAATGGGTGTTAGTCAACTATGAGGGAATTATGCCTACGATATGGCTTAAATTCATTTCTAGGCCAGTTAATTTTCTCTATAAACCCAAATACTGGGGAAAAAGTCTCTTCCTCTGATTTTATTGAAGTGGATTTTATCAAAATAAATGACATATAACTATAATCACATACAGCATGTAATAATAAATAGTAATTCAAAACACACAATTTCAATAGTCCATATGACCGAAATACAAAATTTCAAAGTATACGGAGATGGCCTTATTCCCTCTTCCTGTGTTAATATGCCTTGTGAATCAAAGAAATCTACACTGAGTTGCACAATTGCACAGCCACTGTAGAAAACTTCTCTGATCTAGTGAAATATTGTGTGGATAGGCATGATTTTTGTTGATGGTATGGCTGTCACTGGACTTAACTTTTTCAGAAATGTATGTTATCATTACAAAATAAATTATTCATACTAAGAATCTTACACTTTCGATTCTTTTCTGTGAAGTTTAACAGGAAATTTTTAGATACCGTTACTTGGAAATACACGTAGAAACTTTGTTCAGAAACATTTACAGTTGTGCAAATTGCAATGCATTTTGTCAACTCATCTTCCTAATTTTAAAATGGTGATGCTTGTTTTAATGTGTGAAATGCTACATAAATTTTAAAAGTAATCTTCATTTTTTCAAGTTTTGTAAACGTGCTCTTGAGTAAATCTAGACAAATAAAATATTACACTGTTGAAGTCATGTCCCAGACTCCGCATTATATCCAATTATAGTATCAATCTTTAGGTTACAGAAATTAGAACAGAATTTTCCAATGGAATGTATGTGCATTAAAAACAAAAATTGCATAGGATATGCTTGGCTACTTCCCAAGCGTTAAGTGAATTTAAGAAAATTTAAAAGAGAACTCGCTAAATATTTTCATAATTCAAGTTAATATAATCAGTGCAATATAATAAGCATATGTTTCTATGAAATGGAAGCAACTTTTTTGAAGTCACATCACAAAAATGATATTATACATTTTAAAATAAAATATTTTATTTCTTTTGTTAAAGAAAGTACAAAATGCCTTATTTATTGCCCAAGTAGGAAATCTATTAGATTCAGTCTGGGATAGTGATGTAAAATATTATTTAGTAGGTATGCTTATCAAATTCCTAACAAGAACTGAAACTAACCAATTTTCCATAAATAGCAACATGTGATATGTATCCAGTACTTCAGCCAAAATTAAGTTTCTAAAACACATTTCCAAATACTGTCCACTTCACATCCAAATAGAGAATTAATAAAGGAAACAGCCAGGGCCTTCAAATATGGGAAAAGTACTTCATTTCACTATGGAGATGCCCAGAATAGAGTGAACAGGCAACCCATATATGTGAGGACATTGCAATTAAAAAGACAGCAAGTGGCAAGATACATGGCTGCCTCACAAACCAACTACGGACAATTTTACCATCAGGGCCTCCAGCAGACCACAACCTACATCCTGAGCCTTATGTTTGGCAAGGCCTAATCACTGTTGATAGAGAACATTTTTTCAAGAAGCATGAGGTTTTGAGAGCTCTTTCTTGTCATAGCTAATAAAATTACATATATTCATAATATCACTGGTTTCGCTTACAATGCAAAAACTTCAGAAGTAGTACGGGTGGAAACTTTTACCACATTACCTGAAAACATGTAGTTGTGTGAATTAAATGCGCTCACTTTAACACTGAAATGTCTTAATATGTGGGTTTATTAATAGTGTAAAAATGTTAGTTGTAACCACCAAGACACACAGCTTGAATGTGTGGCTATAATCAGCCACATGAAGCCCCACTATACTTTGTTCAAGCACATTATAAGCTTTAAGAAAGAATTATCTTAATTGAAGTGTGTGAAAAACTTCAATAAAGTGGCCCCAATTTATGGTTTGGAGTTACACTATTCTGATTTACTCCAAAACAGTTTGAGGATGACAGCTGTGTATCTTAATCTAAGCTTGCAAATTACAGGTGTGAAGTTCACAATGTTAATATAGTAGATCTTAGAAGGATCACAGTCTTTGCAATGGGTTCTTCACCTAGCCATTGTGCTGAACTAGCATGCCAAAGCTTGTTTTGTACATTGAGCAATTATTCTCCCTGGATAGGTCAATTGTAAACCGCCGCCAAATATTATGCCACTCAAACCTGTTAGCCACCCTTCGCTCAATAAAAACGTAGGTTCTAGCTGTTTGTATACAGAACACGGTGTCCTTTAGAACCCATAAAACCCCATCTGTTCAGAACAAAAAATCAATGTTGCTTACATCTGTGCTCCTTAGGAACATAAGAACCAAAGCCTTATTTTATGGCTTAATTAACAGTAACCTCAGATCAGTAAGTGAGAAATTTCTCTTGGCTACTTGCATACCTTAGCCAAATGAAATAAACAGAAACAAACACACGCACGCAAATAAGAGCACTGCAGCACACACACACACATGCGCGCGCATACACTCACACACACACTCACACACACACAGAGAAATCACAAAGTCAACTCACAGAATCTCCAAGTCACGCAGGGCTCGGAAGGCTCCATCTTCAATGCAGCTGATCTGATTGTTGTCCAGTTGCCTGCAGGAAGGAAGGAAAAGTATGAAGGCTTGCCTGGTAACCATGCTGCCTCGGAGCACCATGTTCTCAGCTTCCCTGTCACTAAGGTGTCCCTCCACCCCCTTGCAGCCTCTGCTTGTCACTAGAAGGAAGCTTGCTTGTAGGCTGCCACACTGCTCTGTCTCTTCTCACTGACTGTCTGAAAGAGCTGCATACTATAGCACACTGAAGCCTGTCAGGTCTCAGTAAATATTAATTGCGCTTCCCCCCCCCACCCCCCAAGGCAGAAGGGAATAATTTCATTACATTAGGGCATCCAATCCATTATGAGCTCTTACCGTCATGTCACTGAAACAATTTCATTAAGCTAAAGGCCTGTAAATCATTGGAGGTCACCGTGCTGCTCCCAGTGACCTCCCAGAATGCTTTTTTTTTTTTTTTTTTTTGCTTTTACTGGAAGTTGTAGTCCTCCATACTGACAGTACTAAATCTCAAGGCTTTATCTGCCCAAGAGCTTCAAGGGTGTATGGGGAATATACCAATTCCAAATTAGACTCAACTAATCTAATTTTATAGTCCTTTTATTATTCCAAGCACCAAATGACTGTGGTGGTTCAGCGCCTTTCTGCATTGTTACTGGTCCCATCTGGTAGGCCTGTCGATGGAAACCTTTCTGACCAAACATAGAATCAGCACAAGTGCATAAAGAAATCAAGAATTCAAATGTCAAAATATAAGCTCCCTTCCCTTCATAGCTGAGTATGCCTGAGCAAATGCAGGTGTGACCAAATCGGAAGATAATGTTAAAAAGGATATGGCTCATATATCACTGATTCCAGGATCTAACCAGGTATTTCCATGCTGCCCTCGGGCTCATCCGCCTGGCTTTAGCTAATCCCAACTGTCATTCACTGCTTCAAAAGATGCTCAAATGCAGAAGTTGAGCCTAGACCTGGCCCGCACACAGCCGCCTTTTTGGAGTAGTTCACTACCTATACACTAAATGTCATATTGGATATTTGTGAATTGCTTTAGTACAAATATTATTTAATGTATTGCTCTTTGTGCCAAAAACCTTATTCCAATAAACAGACTGTTTAATCATTTTGATTAAGCATGAATAGCAATTAAAAATGCTTTCCCAGACATTTTATTTAACTTTTTGCTGCCTGTCTCAGGCCCCTCAGGCTTGTGCAGGTCAAAATTTGAAATACATAGTTAAGGACCAGACTATATTATACATAGAAGATGTTAAATGTTACATCTATTGCTTAAATTAAGATGTGAGGTACAATGCAGTTATGCGGAGTGCTCCTATTCACAGTTCCATCCAACTCTAGTCCACTTCCCTTCCAAAATATAATTGATATTCTGTGGCTACTAAGCACACTCATTGGAAGCGTCTTCACTGTATTTTTGAAAATAAATCTATTTGTGTAAACTGCAGGTTTCTATACCTACGAATACCTCCATCTTGTACCACTTTGGCTGCATATGGCCCATCATCATATATATGGCTATTGTCTTTGCCTGAGAAAATCAGCATCAGGGAAAGGTGTGTAAAAATTAAACCTTGTTACAATCGGGCACATGATTTTCCCTCACAGCCCATACAAGCAGTTAAAAATGAACAAATAAATTAAATTAGAGATAATATAGTATAAGAAAACTACCAAAATGTTTTGACTTTCATACAAATATAGTCAAAGTTTGTAAAGTAGGATATTATACTAAAATCTTACTTAAAGTCATAACAATACACTATCCAACATTTAGGAGACAAAAACAGGAACACACTTGTTCTCAATACGTTTCAAGTTTAGATATATTCATAGGCTAAATCGTGATACTTGTTTGAGGATATGGAATCCATGTGTAAGATTCTTAGAAATCTTTTTGAATTCTTATAGAATCAAATCATTCTGGGAATCAGTATTATGAATTATAAGAATAAAAAACAATAAGGTACAGAATAATACTATTGAGAAAGAAGATTTGAAATTTGTAATGAACTAAATTCAGCTAAAATCACAATATCCTCCACTGATAGGAGGATATTTATCTACTCTTGTCGATTGCTTTTGTAAAAGTGGAGCTTTGTAATTGACAATGACATGAAAATCATTGTGGGTAAGTTGGTCTTGAATTGTAATGTTTTGCAATGGCAGGATACTTTAAGTTGTTATTCTTTGCTATACATTTTATTTGCTATACATATATATTAGTTTAAAATGCACTTGGCTCTACTCTTGTCCCAAGCAGAAGTACCTAAGAAGTACCTTAGTAGTACCTAAGTAGAATACATCTTCTACTCACAGTATTATGCTCTGACTTGTGAAGCAGTGTGCTAACTTTTAAAGGTGTCTAATAGCTGAATTTTGTCTCTATTTTAATTAGCATCCGTATCAGTACGGTTTTGTATTATTTTACTGTGCAATATCTGTATGGAATTTTGGTTGACAGGGGAAAAGTTTAATACAAAAAAATCATAAGACCAAACAATTCTTTTTAGATTTAATAATATTTTGCATTCTGCTGATTTTTAAAAATTAAAACAGAAATAAATTCTATATAAACAAAATCAACTCATCTCGTATTCCATTTCACAGTTTATTGACCATCCTTATAGTATGGTTGAAATTTAAATACATTCAGCATCATCACAATCAGCGCCCTGAGGTGGAAGAAGAATATGAACGCAAAGCAGTGGCCGGAACTGGGTGTCCATGTGCATCCATTTACAGTAATTCAGGCATGTAGTCTTGACATATATTAAGGTACATCTCCTCACCTCCCTCACAAATGAATATGCTCATGGGTTTTGACTTTTTTAAGTATATAGTGGAGGAAGCCAAAAATTGAAGAATTCTAATATGTATGTGTGCATGCTAATGGCATTTTTAAATGACATCTCCCCCAAAGGAAAAATAGGAACAACAATTTTAGAAAGACAGATTTCAGAAAGTAGGCTCTTCCTAAATACTGGCACCTGGAACATATGTAACTGATAAGAGGACTGATTCCCCCCCCCCCCCCCCCCCCGCAGTGATTAGAAAGAAAACTCATTAACCTCAAACATCTTTTCGGTGGACGGGCAAGAAATCAACATTAATTGCTAAGCTTGGATATTTACCTGCACTTTAAATGAAAGCTTCAAAGGTGATCACTTAGAGACTGGAAGTTCATGTGACATTTTGTGGAAAACACTTAATATGATATTTGGTTAGAGAAACATTGTTTTCTAGTCTTGCTTAGGTTTCATACATTTGACTCCAGATATACAAAACAAAAGCAAAATAATCTATCTTGACTCCTTCAGAGAGAGATATGGCCTCATTTGGAGGATCAATATATTAGCAATTTTAAGCATACAGTGTTTAGGTTTTCCCTATTTGGCTTCGGCTATTCTGGACATCAAACTTTTTAAAAGCTTTTTTCAGTTTTTCCCTGACTACAATAGCCATGATCCAGTGAGAGTAGTGGAAGATGGGAGTTAAGGCATGACTGCATAAGGGGAGAATGCCAGAAAGAAATTAAGAGTAGTCAATGGAGAAAATTCCCTCTTTTCCCTGCCTGGGTGTCAGTATATGAATGCTGAGGTGTGGTAATATGGAATAGAGGTAGGCAATGAGGCAATTCCTCTGTTGAGCAATGATTCCTTTTCTGGCTCTAGATTTTCAACTTCTTAGCACCCTCTTTCCATTTGGAAGGGAGAAGAGGACACTCCTTGTGCTGAACACTTTACAAATGCGGGGGCGGGGGTGGGGGCGGGGGGGGGACACAAGGTAGCAGGCTGTTTCGTCATGCCCTTCTTGTAAGACTTGCCACTACTCAGACACACCCTGGTTTGTGTTTGATTTTAGCCATTAGCCATAACAGCTGGATAGTATTGGAAACTCCCTAACTGGTGGACTATAGAAATCCTTGGTTTCCCTTTCCTACAAATAGCCTTCAACTGATCTGGATGAGAGCCAAACACAGCTGCAGATGGCAGCAAATCAGTTTGAGTAGCATTTCTCTTTTGCCACCTCTTGACTCTGGAATACGATGGCAGAATTATGCATTCTCTCTAAGCAGAAGGGGGACACTGTGAGTACAAGGTCTGGGTGAAGTAAGTTGCAGCATGATGAGGCTGGGGATCAGAAGGAAAAGCACATCTTGAACTAATCCATTCCGTTTTTCTCCTTCCCAGGCTTCTGAGTGGAGATCAGTGTGTGCATGAGTCCCTGTGCAGGGGAATTACATAACCGTAAAGGAAGATTGGGGGGAGAGGGGTCAGCAAACTTCTAACCTATGTGTTCCCAGTTGTTCCTGGATTTTGAGCATCAGGACAGAACTACTGGACAGGGATCTTCAGTTCTCATATTGTGAAAAATGACAGATGCCAACAAGTGCTTGCTTTTGAACAGCACATAAGGAGTTCATAATTAACTTTAATTTATGTATATAAAAGAATAATATATTTAATTATATACTTTGCCAGATTTTTCCATTCTAAATGCAGACAGGTTTGTATTGGCCATATGTTGACTCTTCATGGAAGACTTTGGTTTGAGATTTCAGAAATCTGGGAAGAGTGGGGGCCGACTGCTCCAACTTGAGACATGAACATGGCTGGCTGCTCTTCCTGAGCCATCCCCCTTTTTAATTTCGCAGGTCTCACACACATAAACCCCCTATTTACATATAAATATGTTAAAAGTGGACAAAGTATAGATTGAAAATTGTTGCAGAAGTGGAAATTTAATGACTATACCACAATTTCCTGAAAAGGAGGTGAATCTGCTTGGGGAGTGTGGTTTGATTATTTAAATTCTTTATCTGAATCAAACTGAAGTGTGTTTGTATCTTAGGAGCAGTGTAATGCACAGTGTCTGGCAAAAGTGTGATATGGGTGTTCTGATTGAATTCTGAAAACTTTCTAATTTTTCCCCTTAAGCACAGCCAGTACGAAGTATAAAACTGAGGCTGTTTTTATGCAGTTACTAAGATAATTGAATCCTGTTCACATAATCAGCATG